GGGATGTGTCTTCAACTGGGGAGTGCATTCTTCTATGTGTGCGGCAGGGGAGCATTAATTTGTGTGTGTGTGGGGGGTATTATTCTGTGTGTGCTATGGGGGGGTGTATTTTATGTGTGCAGGGGGGGTATTATATTGTGTGTGGTTGTATTCTTCGGTGTTTGTTTATATTAGTCTGTGTCTGGACTTTGCGTATTCCTGCAGCAGAAATCCCTAATCTGCAGTTTACAAGAGGCAACTGTCACCCATTCAAGTTAATGATCAGGTGACAACCACTGCATGTAAAAAGATTACAAACAATCACTCTCCCTGGACACATGATCGATGCATCCACAGAGAGTGAATGATTTCTAACTGCATGTAATCCTATCACATACCATTATATGCGGTATGCAGGCGTTTACATGCAGCTGCTGTCACCTGATCCTTAACTTGGTGACAACTGACGCTTGTAAACACTTGTAACATGCGCAGACATTAACACTGGTATTATATATTATTTAAATTTTATTTTGAAACATGAAATTTGGCAAGCGGCCCCAATGGGACTAAAATTGTACTGACACGGATGTATGATATGGAGAAGGACAGAGAAGGGGCCAAGCAACAGTGAATTGTTTTTACATAGGTAAGTGGTGATGTTATTCAAAAACAGACTCTGTGTTTTTGAAGTGTTTTGAATGTCATCAGATCAAGGAAGAACTTCATCCAAGTATAAAAAAAACACCCTTCATTCCAGTTATGTCTTTAAAATGTACATTAAAACGCATTTTAGGTTTTAGGTGCTAGTATAAGCACCTAAAATCTGTCGGCACCTTTCTGACCAGCATCCCTCAATCAGCAAATGGAAGTAGAAAGTCCGAAAATTGTCGGCCGAACAGAGCGAGCAGCCAATAAGCTTTTTGCCTGTTTAGGTATTCTGACAGCAGACGCCAGCGCAGGAGATTCCTAGATCAACGCTCGGAAGCATTGATGGAGGAATCTGTTCCTGAACGAAGAAATATAACCATGTATACCAGACTTAAGGGGTAAGAAAAAATCTCAGTTTTGAGTGGATGGGGAAATCCCCCCCAACCAGGCTATTGTATTCTGACAGTGGAGGGTATACCGCTGTCAGAATACCCAAACAGGGACTTCAGCTGTTCGGCTGAGTTTTTTTCAGATCGGCTCCTTTAACAAAAAGTAAATTGATGAATCAACTTTTGCTGAATGGAGGCGTGCCGAATCTCAGCCAAGTTGGCCAAAATTCCCCCCAGTGTATGGTCAGTCTGAACCTCAGCAGCAGTCCTTTTCATAGACCACTGATCAGACAGGTGACATAAAAAAACTGCAAAGCTACAACAGGAAATATTGGTAACACCCTGCTGGTTATGCAGTATAGTTGGGTGTGTGAACCACTCGAGCATCTCAACAGAACGATTTTTTAAAGCAAAAAACAGTCAAACAAAAGTAATTTCACTTTTTACTTTGTGCTACAGGTAAACAGCAAAGTAACAAAAGAAATACAAATAAAAGCAAAAACCAGCAGTTTTTTCTGGTTCAGCCTTGTGGGCCAAACACTGGTCGAATTTAAGACCGACCAGTGTACGGCAAGCCTAAATAAGTTTGCAAATATATCATTTGTACCATTTAAATCTAGTATGGCTTTCTGTATCCGTAGGCCTCATTCACACTTGGGCTCCTATGTATAGCTTTTCTAAACACAGGAGATGTTATCTGGAAGATATAAACAACCTTTATGCTTCCCAAATCACTTTTTTCTGCATTTACTATAGATCTTCCTGCTTTAGGGCTTGCACACACTATATACAGTACGTTCCAGCACTTTTAGCTGCTGGAACGCACCCTGGCCGGCTTCCTGCATTCAGGGGTGGGAGGGGGCATGGCGGTGCCATGAAGTCAATGGCACTGCAGCCATGCTCCACGCCCGCAGTGCGATCACACGCACCAGAACGCATAACAAAACAATGCTTGTGTTCCGGTCCAGTGCGATCTGAAAAAATGCTCCAATGACATGGTGTGACAATGGTATGAGCAAGCCAAAGGGCTCGTTAACACCATGTCGGGCTCATGTCCAGACCAGTTTTTTCCCGGACCAAAAAAGCATCCCAATGTATCCCTATGGTATTTCTGGGCTCTGTTTACACCGACGCAGTCTGTTCCGGTGCAGATCAAAAAAATTGCTGCTCGTCAGTGTTCCTTACTTTTCTTGTCTGAATGATTGTACAGCGCTGCGGAATATACTGGCGCTATATAAATAATTCTAATTGCCCAGCACAGTGCTGATACGCCGATCCTGACACATTGCACTTTTTTGTTGTTGTTAGTACTTTATTGAAATGTCACAAGTGACATTTCATTCAGTTCTATGGGCACAACAAGGCGCAAGTCAGTTCTGCGCCACATCCTGCTGCAAAAAAAAAAAAATAAAAAAAAGTACTGCATGTCGTACTTTTTTTTAGGGCACACCACCACATTCCGAACGCAACGTGGTGATGTGAACCAAGCCTGTCCGTGACAAGGCAATTTGTCTTGTCTTGCATTTGGGCTGTGCTGGAAACAACGGCCAGCGCAGCCCCAACACATATAGTGTGAATGGACCCCAAGGGCTCATTCACCCGGGAGTCGGCCAGCACGTACAGCTCCGTGCTGCATGCACGGCCGTATCGGGCAGCTCCCGGGAAGGACAGGTGCCGCGCATGAGTAGTACGCAGCCCGTCCTTCTCTATGGGACGTGGCCGTACGCCACGCTCACAGGATGGATCCTGTCTGCGTCCGAACAGGGACACACGCCCTCGTACGGACCTGCACTTGAGGCGTGCATAGGGGGCGTATGGTCCAATAGAGAAGGACTAATCACACATCACCCCTGTCCTTCCCGGAAGCTGCCCGATATGGCCGTGCAGGCAGCACAGAGCTGTACGTGCCGGACGATTACCATGTGAATGAGCCCTAGACCTGTTTAGCCGCGTATAGCGTTTCTAATTGGATCCCCAACAAACCGAATTCTATTTTCTCTAAACGCAGCTAAACTGGCCACACCTAAAACGCAATTAAATGCGCAGTTTGAATTATACCATTTAAAAATCATTACCTGCATTTATATTTGTTTACAAAAGTAAACAAAATGC